AACCTTTATGAACATGATTTCTTTTCACCTAGGTCTGAGGCTGAAGTGTATTTTTCTTTTCTACATTTGAACACATTATTGAACATAATTTGGTGGCCTGCAATTCATCAATAGTTAATGCATGTTGAATTAACAATTAAGTAATCACAATCCTTTAGTTTCCTTATATCTCTACAGACCATATATATTTTCCAAAATGTACAAGTTATATCTGATTGTATGTTTTGCCAATAAATTTTTCATTCATAACTTTGCTACAGTGACCTCAAGTGACGTGATCAATTTTTAATGAATGAATAGCAGTAACTGATACATTTAATCTATTGAAGAGCATGAATGTTTTCTGCCATATGCAAAGGGCTTTTTAGTTGTTGAATAGTGACATCTGATATGTTTGGGCCTTTCCAGTATGGAATAGTTAGCCCTTGAAGCTGTTTAATTTATTGAAGAGCACAAATACTTTCCTGCTGTATGTGAAGGGCCTTTTAATAATCATTGAATAGCAATGTCTGATATGCTCAGCTTTTTTGCCTGTTCAAAATCAGATTTTGACTTTCATTACAGAATGGGTGCTGAGGATTTTATCTTTTTGTGTTTAATGTAGTTGTTAGTTGAATACACCAATAAGAAGAGCTTTTTGTTTGGCTTGAAAGTTGTGTGTACCAGATTGTGAATTCACTACAATAAGTTATATATATATATATATATATATATTTTTTATCCCCAAGCATTTACGAACCTATTTTTCTATCTGTTCAGGACCACGTAGCATTGATGATGGAACTACTTGGCATGATGCCCCGCAAGGTGAGAAAATCTCCATTCCCACCTCCTAAGAAGTTCACTTTGTAGGAGACCTGCATTTATTTAATGCTCGAAATTGTTCTCAGATTGCCCTAGGTGGCCGCTACTCTCGAGACTTTTTTAATCGATATGGTGATTTAAGGCACATCCGCCGGTTGCGTTTTTGGCCCATGAATAAGGTCCTCATTGAGAAGTATGAATTCAGTGAACAAGATGCAAATGACATGACCAACTTCCTGGTTCCCATCCTTGATTTTATCCCTGAGAAGCGTCCAACTGCTGCTCAATGCCTCCTTCATCCATGGATCAATGCTGGGCCTCGGCTTTTAGAGCCTTCTGTATGTTCTTCTCAAAGCCAAGACCTGGACAGTCTTTCTGAAGAAAAGAAGGGAGACAAGGATGAGATGGAAGCCATGGAGGCTGGAATGAGGAATATTGTCATTAGTGCAGATTCTAAAGTGGTCAAAGATGACCAGACTACTTCAAAATTATCCAAGTCAGCTAGAAGCTCCTCTAGGTAGGTCCACCAAGCATGCCTGCAGCTAAGGAAATCTTCTCTTCAATCTGTTTGTGTAGATTTCTCCAATGGCTCTTGGAATTCCCTTAAGAGGCATGATCTTCCTATAATCTTCTGTATTTGTTTTTTGGATGAGCTTTGGGAGGGATGCCATTTGATTCTCGTGCAGGTTAGGCCTTGGGAGGAACAATAACTCCGAAGGAGATATTCCGGAACTGCTGCAAGGGTTCCCTATTCAAACATGGTTGATGGAGCACGCTCCTTTCCATTGTATACAGCAGGTCGAAGGTGGCTTTTGTTACAAACTCCTTTGTTTGTAAAAAAAAATGTTCAATTTTTATGCAATTGATGAACTGGCGTAGCATTCTTCGTGCTGGAACTATTGGTACATTATAAAAGATATACACATTCTTTTGTGCATGTTAATCCTCGTACAAGCCAGCCTGATGCCTCCCATTAAGTAATGTTAATCCTTGTACATGCCAGCCTGAAATGACTCCCACATCCGCCCCGCTCCCCAAAAAAGAAAATCTTCTCTAAACTTTCTCTTTTTCTCACTTTTCTAAACCTTTTTTTGTTATAAAATTATTCATATATTTTTATATATTAATATTATAATAAAAAA